TTTTTTTTTTTTTTTTTTTGTTTGTCACTGAAATGCAGCAAACGCCACAGGAATTGTGTTCTTTCAAAGGAAATGCTGTAATTTCATGGTAGTGTTTCCTTTTATTCCAGCTGCCATCATGATGTCGGCACTGTTTTGTTCCCTCATTCAAGAAAAAATGTTCTCAAGCACACTTGTGCAGTTTTATTGAGCTCTGCAGGCCCCTGATGGACTTGCGAGACAAAATGACAATAAAAAGAGGGACAGTTTAAGTAGCTCACACAGGTTTTGAGTGACAGGCTGAACAGCTTGAAACCTCTTCTGTTTTTTAACCTGTGTAATTTCTGCACCTTAGAGAAATGACAAATGATGCCAGCGTGTGGGTGGATTGAATATGTGCTGCGGTGCTGTCATACTGCACAGCGGTTTCTATGGTGTCGGTTAGTTGCCCGGAGATTATATCTGACAAGAAACTAGAAATAAGCTTTCAGTCGTGGCCAAAGTGCTTCTGCAGTTCTATTGAAAATCGTTGTAAATACGCTTGTAGTTGTTAAACATTGGTCAAAAACCACTAATAACTTCCAAGGTCAGGATGGAAGAGGGGTGAGGTTACCCTTCATACGAAATACTTTTAAGCTTCATCCTTCCAGCGTGAATGAATGGACAGATAGATCATGGGTGAAGGTCTCGTGGGTGTGCACGCTGTTTCCTTCTTCCTGGGGCTCTTAGAGTGCTCCTGCAGCATCCTCCCGCCGACTGCCGGATCGATGAAGCTTTGCTAATGGCTCGACATCTGCTTGTTTGCGTGTGGAGCTTAAAGACTTTCTTATACATGGCACAAGCATGAGGATGGAGTCTGTGTTCTTCAACCGCACAGGATTTCATCCATTACTTAATTGCTCGAGTTTGTCAGATGATGAGATTCTCTAGAGCTCGCACCGTGTGTTGATTAAGTGGTTTCATGTCGGAGCTAATAAACAAGGGAAGCTGCTGATTTTCATTTTTTGGAAGGTGTTTGCTGAGATATGTCTGAAGACGAAGGCATTTTCCTAGATTAAATTTAAAGTGCGATGACTGATTAAGTGAGGTGTACATATTGATTTGAGTGGAGACTGAAATATTGATCTATTTTCCCTCCCTCTAAGGAAGTCTGAGTTTGAAATGAGTCTGCTCTGGATCCCCTCAAGGGGTGAGAGGAGAAAAAGAAATGTAGGCGTGACTGCTGATACATTTTGAAACCCCCCCCCACGAAAAAAATACATCAACTGTGTGTGTGTGTGTGTGTGTTCATAGATGAAATGGAGTGGATGGTGGAGCTCTGTGGAGCAGCTGTAGTTAAAGATCCACTTCTACTAGACAGTAAACAGGTAAGAGTGTCAAAACTATTCCATTTTCAAAAGTATAAACTCATATAAAGATCAGTCTTATTGCCTTTTAAATTATGTTTCAGTTTTAATAAATCCTTATGATCCCTATGATTTATGTATTATAAACTACAGAGCAAAAATATGACCTGCTACATTCTGTGGCTGTGACTGTTTTCTGTGCCCTGTGTGTGATTTTTATTTTTTTGCTGCAGTTGTTTAGCAAATGTCACTTTATAAATGATAACAATTGATTGATGTTGAAAATCCCCAGGTCCAAAATCCACTACAGCTTAATCAATAATCACCAAACAAAAATATATTGCTAATATAAAATGATAGATATGGGTGAAAATACAATTTCCTTTCAGTCTGATTGACTGTATGTGAAAATATGTTTTACTTATCGCTTATATAATTCTAAACTGAACCTAATGTCTACACAGAAGTCCCGTCAGCTGGTCGTTGTACAGCCTGGACCTGAGTCATCATCGTCCACCTTCAGCCGTGAGTCTTATCTGAAAACGAAATCTCATTATCACCTACTACTTTTAAACCAGACCACAGAAATAACACACTGACACACGTGCCTACATACGCAGTTAATAAGGGTCGAGATGAGACTGGCAGCAGCAGTGGGAGATGGTTAAATAATTCATACATGGCTTCACCTGGGGGTTTGAGTCTGACACAAGCGTTGACCTATGGAGAGACAGACAGTAATTGTGTATGACAGACAATCCACCAATGATGTTTTATATATATAATAACTGAAGAAATGTATTTTCATCATATTTTTAATTATGAGTCTGCATTAACCATTAATTTAAATAAATAGAGACAAAATTTATATTTATAATAATCACAAGGGTGTTAATGTAAGTTAAATAATTAATATTAATAAGAATTAATGAAGACTTCCTACTCTACCTAGCTAGTGTCACACTAGCTCTTTTAGGAGAATTGGGAATCATAAGTCAGATTGGTTAAGTCCAGTCAGCAAAGGTTTTCTCCCATCCCTGAGGGTTACGGTTAACCCTGAATACATTGTAGTAAATAGATGTTCCTCACAAAGCTACGTTCCGAGCACCTGTTGGTCCACTCGTCCCTACATTTGAATGCGTTTGTGCCTGTGTGAGGATCAGTTGGACAGTGACACAACAGAGAAATGGCAGATGCTGCCAGCCTAAATGAGACAGTTTCCCAACAAGGGCTAGGGGGATTGACTTGCCAGGGAAGCAAGTGTGAAGGAAGTTAGGCAGCGGCGGAGAAATGGCCAAGAGAAAATGTCAGATTGGAGCGGGGGGAAATGTCAAAACAAGTTGGCCACCAGAAGAGAGGGGCTGCCGTGGCACCAGGAGAGCCGACAGTTTGAAACGGAGACGAGGAAAGCGGCTCCAAATTCCCCTGCCTCGCTCCTCCTGGCATCCTAACTTGCACTGTTGCATATTTAATGCAGCTTTTCCTTTTCCACTTCCTCTGGTGCTTGTAGCCCAGGTAATGGAGCAGCCCCCCCCCCCCCCCTACCCTCCTCTTCCCTGTCCCTCTTTATCCTCTTCTTCTGCACCATTGATTGAAATCACAGACATGTTTTGTGCTGTTTCTCAACCGTCCTCTGATGTCATTGAAATGTGTGAGTATCTGTTCTTAAACTGCAGATTGTGTTTAAAAGCACTTCTGGGTTTCTTTCTTCAGGTTATTGCTTTTTAACTTGGCTGCTTATTTGAATTTTGCAAATAACGTCGATTGATGTTCAGACTAATCCGTGAAGTCAACATTTTGAAATGAAGATTTCTTAGTAATCAGCATGTTATTCCAGGTATCTCATTCATTATGGTCTCAGTTATCTTTCATAAGCTATGATGGCAACCATGTGTCTGTCGTTTAGGTCATATAAACCTTTAGCAAATGAAATGAATCAATTCTGCAAACAAGTATTTCATGTGTAGACAATGACCGGCCGAGTATTTTGCTTTATATATGGAAGTTCGTTCATTTAGGGAGGATTTTATGCCTGAATATGGGAGCAGAATGAGTGAGAGTGTCAGGTCCTCAGTCAGAGATGAACTGGGATTACTGGGGCTTGTGGTCGGAGTCTTACCTACATTGTTGTGAAAAGAAATCAAAAACATGAGCCACACGTTACATCTCCTCTCTGTGATCTTGAATTTATCTCAAATACATCACTCTGGTCTCATAAATACTCAACAGGAAATGAAACGTTTATCAATCCACAAGATAAATGGGTTTTTCCTCCTATTTGAGGGAAACAACAGCAACCAGGTGTTCTAGGAAATTACCTTGCCATATTGATGTAAAAGCTGAAAACATTTTTATACCACCAGAATCCTGTCCTCATAAATGTTCATTTGTTTTGTTCATACTTATGTTTCGGTCATTTTTAGATATATCTTATAAACGCTGTCTCCCCACAGGTCTCCTCAGACAAGCCAGTGTTGTGACACGTGGTTGGCTCTTGGACACAGTGGCAACCTACACCCTCCAAAACCTCAACAAATACTCACTATGACCACGTTGTCCTCTGTTCTAACCTCCACTGTACATCTCCTGGGTTTTTTTTATGTCCAATATTATAAATAAACATCTGCTTATACTGCTATGCTGCATGCATATGTATTTTGTGCGCATGACGCAATGTATGTGGAGTTGAATTCAGATAAGGTTCTTGAATTTAGTTTTAATAGCAAAGCACAAACAGAAATGTTACTGCTTAAATAGAACATATTCAAAAGGCAGAAAATCTAAATCCACCATCATAATAATATCTATGCAAGTTTTTCAGTTGATATTTTTATTCTATATTTTTAGGATAAGCATGAATCTTCTTTGACCTTTAAAACCAAGCGAGTGAAATGCTGAAACTTAAATTCAATATGCCCCGTCATCATCAATATGATCCGTGCAGTTTGCAGAGAGAATCATTTACAGTATTCACTACCTGCTGCCTCCTGTCTCTTGTAATGTATTTTAATAAGATCTTGTCATCGCCAGTGTTCCCTCTGATGTTCTGCGGTCCTGCCGCTGTTGTTTGCAGATCCCCAGTGTAATGCTAGTGTTCCTGGCCATGGCAGAAAGCCTGTAGCTTCACCGAACACACAACTGGTTTCATGAATTATTGCACAGCCTGTTCGCGTGGGAATGAAATGAGCGGGAAGAGATTTACAGGGATGAACCATATGAGGGCACAAAAATCAGCCCTCACACTTGAGTGTACAAGGTTTCATGTAATCTCAAAAGGATACAGGTCTGTGTCAGATAAGGTCCAATCATGCAGAACATGCTTTATGTTTGTGTTCAAGGGTTTCATGGTAAAATTGGTCAAACAATAAAATCTCAACTAAAAGGCTGAAAATATATAAATGATTCTTGACAAACTCAATCCAGCATATCTTTGATTTAGCAAGAGCTTAAATCCCAAAGATAATTCAGTTCGCTGTCAAATATGAAACTGGGAAATAAACAGTTCATTGATTATTTAAATGGTTGTTGATTGAGCATTAATTATTTGTGGTCCAGCTGATGTTTAGCAGTAGCAGTCAGCACCAGTTCTGCAGTGTGGAGTTTGTGTGTCGACGTGTTTGTTTACATGTGCAATGTCTACATGTTAATTGGAAAAAGGTGGGGCCACTACTAGAGGAGTGCTACCATAGGCCAGTGGAGGGGAACTATACCTCATCATGAAACGTACATAGAGAAAAGAAAATAGTTAGTTTTCCATGTTTTTAAGTCTGTTAAGTGAATTGACTCTCCACTTTTAATCACTGTAAAGGTTTTTCCTGGAGAAAAATAAATAAAGACTTGAAATAAGCATTGGAGGAACGGAACATCCCCCTGTTCCCAGACTTAATGCTGAGCAAGGCTAACCAGCTGCTAGCCACAGCTTCATATTGAATGCACAGCTATGTGAGGTGCATGGTATTGATCTGCTCATCTAGCTGATGGCAATAGTTGCTCCTAAAACGCCAAAATACTCTTTTCAGTTTCTACTTCTGGGATCGTCAGTGCGTTTCATACATAAACTCGGATCTCTCCCATGAAAAATCAGTCCACTTACAACATGTAAACAATGTGTCTATGCAGAAGAGAAACGCACCACCTAAATAATGCATGTTTCTGTGCACAGCAACAACTCAAAGTCCCTCAGGGTGTGTCGGTGGTCTGCACTGTGGCGACTGTAATCCATGCAATAAGCAGAGTGAATGTTGGTGGGGGGGGAATCATATCCACAGAAACATCAGCTACTGGAACAACATGGAAACCAGTGAGTGTTTGAAGGGCAGAGATGTAGCGGAGAAACATTCAGCTCCTGCAGCCACTCGCAACTTTTTCCCTCCAGGACTCGAGTCGACATGTATGTGTGGACCTTATATCGACCTCATGTAGATGTTGCCCTCAGGGCCAAAGTGATGATTATATGACTTACTGATTTGTGAATATAGATTTTTTTTTTTGTATGGAATGGGCGGATGCATGCATAGAGCTGCTACTTTAATTTTACAACTTCTTAATATGAACACCTACCTACATGCAGTAAAAAGAAGACAAGGGGAAAAGTAAATTACTAGTAATGACTATTTGCGTCGGTGACATTTAGTTGCAGGAGTACAGATGCTGGATTCAGTGTCATGTATTAACAACAGCTACCAAAAAGCAGGTGGCTGAAAATAGAAAGAGAGCACAACACCAAACAGTAACGTCAGCACGTTTACACCGAGGCTTTTTAAATGCCAGATGTGCGGTACCAGACGCCAGAGTGCCAGGACGCCGCTTTCCTCCAGTCAGCTGATTTTTTTTTTTTCTCTTTCTTTCAGTGCAGGGCTGCAGCCGAGCATTCATTCAGCTCCGTTACTCTTTGTGACCACGGGGTAACAGCATGATACGGACTGAAAGCTCACAGTGCTGCCCTGTTTGCTTTCTTTGAGTTAGGGTGAAAAGTCCAGTCTTTTTCCTCAGCTGCAGATTTTTCAGTGTATAATCAATATGAGATGAAATATTAAGTGTGAGTAGCTACAATATTTACAGCATCTTAGTTTTGTATTTTGTGAAGAGACGAGAACATTTGTTTTGCATGTACAGGACAAATTTCATGACAATTTCATTTTTGACCTGATGATGGCACAAAAAATTCAGGGTAACGCCATCGTTATTCAAATTCTTTATGAGAGGGACACAAATTTCAAATATTAAGGCAAATGATGGCCTAGTTATTAATATGTGACCTTTGACCTGCTGTTCACACAATATGAAAAATCTATATTTCAGTGACGAACAAAACAGTGGACGGATTGACACTGATTTCATTAGAGCTATATATTTAGTCGGTTGATAAAGTCAGAATATTGGTATCAGTGCTGGGCAGTTCCAGAAGAATCGGTGAATTTATTTACAGAAAAGGGAAGACCCACTTTAAATATGGTTTATTGACCACAGGGTGCAGCTCCTCTGTGTAAACACAGTTATGGCTGCATGTGTGAGAGGGTTTTTGTGTAGAACGCAGTTTGCTGGTTTTGTGTGTGCGGTTGTTAAGTCTTAATGCCTCAGCGTTGGTCGAACCAGGGTTTTGTGGAAGATATTTCTGTTCGTATGTTTCACAGGGGAAATTAGCACAAAACCTTCTGCTCGGCCATCTGGAGCGTTTCAGCGCAGTCGTTTGTGAAGCTTCACATCTGTGTGCGTGTGTGCAAACATGTACCAGAAGATTGGCATTTCAAACACCTGAGGGCAGCCATTTACCCTCCAGCTAAATTCGGCATGAGCAGTGTGAGTGTTCCTGTTGTGCTTTCTTTTGTTTTTTACACTCACACTAGAGCATGAGGTTGCTTGGGACTGTTCTGCTGCTCTAGAACAACAGTCGCACAGTGTTATATGAGGGGAAGCTACCAGAGCAGGACCCAGATGACGTGTTGTCATTTAGCAAAAATGTCAACAATTCCCTGCTTCCAGCATCTTTAATGAGGTGTTTCTGTGTCTTCTGTGATATATTTGGACTTTTTCGACACTTTCTAATTGAGCATTTTCATTTAAACTCTGATGACCTGGTGAAGTTAACAGAATAGAAATGACCTTTGCATCCCCTTCACTTCTAATCTATGAGAGCGAGTAGGTGAAATAAAACATTTGCTGCATGACTTCGTGTGGAGTTAGACTATGGGGTAGTTTGAACTGTGATATACCGTGAGTTCAAATTCACTAATGTGTTACCGTGCCCTGAAATTGACTTGACAGAGACACGTGATATATTTTGTTTATATATGATGCCCTGTACATACTGTATATGTTGATTTAGCTTTAATATCCATTTAACCTGATCACATATGAAGATGCTAAGGTTGAGCTTGTTTATTGGACGTGTGGCGCAAATGCAATTTTTTTTCCAGTTTTTGCTCATTTGTTTAATAGATAGTTGTTTTTTTCGATGTGGGTAATTGCGAGAAATAAAAAAATAATAATTTAACAAGATTCAAAACGTAAAAGATGAGTATGTTCGCTCAGAAAACTCCGTCAAGATTTGATTGAAGTCGTCAAATGAGTCAAAAGCCTAAAATTAGCCTGTGACTCAGCGAAACAGCTGAACCCGAACATGCTCTCATGCTTCTATATCTGTTAATGAATATAATTAAGCTATTTTCGGTATCATCGAGATTCAAGATGTCCGTGTGCACATTGTATTCACCACCTTGTCAGATCTCTGTAGTCAAGCAGTTGTGACTAATGAGTGATCTTGTCCACGATGACCCCGGCTGCTCTCACACTTTGCTGCTACGATTGTCATTACTCGCAGCCCCGGAGCCTCCAGGAGTATTTTAACAGTATTTCTGGTCGCACCCTCTGGCAGTGAACCAAACACTGTCTCCAAGTATCTCTTCAGCTAAGTCCTTGAAGCCAGGTCATGCAAAGGGAAACTATTCAGAAAACGAACCGGTTTGGTTTCCTTGCACAAACAAGCCACAGCTGCCTCCAAAACGTTCTCCCTTGTACAGAGAACAACAGCAAAGTTGGAACAAACTTTTTTTTTTTTAAACACATCGAGTCCTCCAGTATGAGCTTTGTTTACTCCTGGTTAAATTTGCAAGAGTTCCACCACAGTAAAAATCCAATTTCAGACTCACCGCTTTCTTTATTGTGTGTGTGTGTGTGTTTTCCATATGAATACTTGTATGTGCTGATGCATTTTCTTTGCTGCATGTGCTTGTCCCCACTCGTGACCTCACAAATTTGTCGCCATCACTGTTGCGCAGAGAACACAGCAGCAGCAGCAGCAGCTTTACCTCTCATGGACACAGGGCACATATATTTTTAATCTGCTCAATTTTACATACTGTATAAATGGGTGTTGAATTTTTAATGACTCGCTCCCTCTGACACGGCAACCATTATCCTGGCATCGCTATTGTGCTGCTTGCACTGGGTGCTTGATGCTCATTGCCTGCCTTATATCTCTGAATTGCCTTTGCTTGTGATGCTAAAAGCAGAGATTTGAGCAAAACTGAACTGATAGCGGAGCCATTTTCCACCCTCAGAGCATTAGGCTGCAGTTTTATGGCTACTGACACTGTGCAGGCAGGAAGAGCATTAAAGATGCAGAAGGGTTGAGCCTTGGTGGTCACTCATCAGTGCAACTTTATAGTGGAATTAAAATGAAAAATGGACCCCCTGCAAAGTGTGTTTGCATCAAGATAATGGTGCATATGAAAATAATGCAGATGATGCGGAACATGGAGATGGATTCCCGTCTCGCACAGAAACGCATAAACAAACTTCCTTTGCTTTGCAAAAACCCATGATGAATTTTGCATGTTGAAAATTACCATAATTACATGTGAACCTTTCACATGACCGAGTGTGACTTAGCATTATTTTACATGTGGGGCTGGCTCGACTCACAAGGACTTAGTGATGCAGGTTGTCATGTGAATTCAAAACCTGAAAGTAGTTGTTGTGCTTCACTGAGAAACATCCACTTCACTTTCCCGGTAGAAGCTCTTAGACTGACAAACAACAGCAACACTCTGAATCACAAAGAACAGATAACTGGTTTACTTGAAGCCGACTGCAGCTCTCTGAACCGATATCCCACGTAGACGGAGAGAATTTGCCC